AAAGTGAAATCTGGATGCTATTGAAGCCACATAGACTTTGCTGTTGACTTAACTGAAGCCAAGATTTCACTGTGGCTGCAATGAGGTTTTTTTGGTTTTGTAGGTGATTGAAGGCCAGCCTCAAACTGGCCAAAAAGCACATTTTCCATTGGCTTGATGAATACTTTAACCCAATCTTTGACAACTACAGGGTTTTTTTTTAATGAAAATTCTGATACTTGACATCAGCACCAGGACATAGCAATAATTGAAATATCTAGTACAACAGCAAGGGAGGTTATTTTAAATCAGAATTTTTGTTTTCTGGAGCACGTGTTAAAATAACTCTTAAAGGGGCTTCAGCAAGAACCCGACCTTTCCCTGGGATAATTTAGCATTCTTCGACTGCATTCTGGGACTTACACAGCTCAGATGACTGGTTGTGTGCTGACTTGTTGGCTTGTACTTTTAAACTTTTCACTCAATCATTGTTTGCTACTTATTTTCTAAAAGAATATCTAATAAGTTCTGTTTGCTGCTTTGTTCTATTAAAGAGCATGCCCTTTTTTACATAGAATGCTTACTAGAATGATTATTGGAGGGTGATAACTGAAATAATAGCTGTAATTAGTCGGTTCTGGGTTTTCTAATTAAATTGGGCAGTTTTCTGCTCAGATACTTCAGTAATTGAGGAGGCATTTCTATTATCTTCTTTACTTTATTGTCCTCAGATATTCTGCAAATGTTATTAAGATCTTATTCTTGAAATATAGAAAAATAGTAGCACTTGCTTTCAGGTGTAGAAATTCACACAACACAGATTTACTCCAGGAAAATTTATTAAACAGTTTTAATACTGAATATGGTATTAAAATGTTACTTGGTAACATTTTTCAGGATCCTGACATTCTCGTATTGAATTCACTCTTCAAAATGCCTTTTTTTTTTCTTTGTGACTTGTAGTTGGTCCAGTTCAGAAGGTAAAGATGATCCAATTGAAGCATCCAACGACAGTATATTTGTGAAAATATTACAGAAATTATTAAAAGAAGGTAATTTTTGTCACCTGTTGTACATTTCTTGAAGTTGCCAGTCTTATTTTAAAATTTACTTAAAATAAACAGCTATCATCTAGGAACAAAAATAACACAACCACGTTTTCAAAAAAGGAAAATAGCATCAATAATCTTCTTGTTTGAGTGTATATCCTAAATCACTATTCAAAATCTCCATATTGAGGGTGAGAGGGCAAAGCATATACAAGTTCCTTCTGGTTTGTAATTTTTGTACTTCTGAACAATCTTCAACAAGAAGACACTACAGTTTTGTGGTGGGGAGGGTCATTTCAGTAGGTGATTACCTCCTCCTCAGGCAAAAAATCAATTCAGAGATGGGAGGAATTAGGACTCCAGGACTGTAACTGGTTTAAGTGGCATAGTTCAAACTTTTTCACTTTAAAAACTAATGCCTTGAGTTGACACCTACTAAATAAAGTTACAGCTCAGAAGGAATTTTCTGAGGAAAAAAATATAGACAACTGAAAGGGTTAGAATGGACACACAGTGTTTAAAAAAAAAAATAACAATTTTAAAAAGCTATTGGTGAATATGAGAAGCTTGCATAGTATGTGAGCTCTTCAGAACATTTGTATCTTTTGTTTTCATGCCTTTCCATTTCTGAGCTTTGTGTGTGTCCTGCAACCCACGCTGAAACATTGGTTTTCTTGACATACATCAAGCAAAAATATATTGCAGCTGACTGAATTATCTAGTTAGATTAAAGTTGGCCCAAATAACTGATTAAACGAGAGATTTAGATTTAATAGAGGCGCTTTGTGGGGCTTTACAATTTCAGAATAATTTCTTTATTGATATGACATTCAAATGTATAAGAGGCTAGATTGGTTATAGAGGGCAGGGTGGTGGGTATTAGAAGAAAAAATGGAAAATGGCCAAGTTAGGGGAGGACATGTCTTAATCTTTATCTTAAGAGTCATAGTGTTACAGAACACTTCAGGGTTTTTTGAAATTCATGATGCCAGTGCAGTAGAATTAGGATAGGTTTCCTCACTTCAAAATGTAACTTAACAGTAATGCATCATGACACTGAGCATTCTTTCTAAATATTTTACAGTTTCTATAACAAGGTTTTGTGTTGTAGGAGTTCAGCTCGGTGAATATTTACCAGAGGTGAAGGACTTGCTACAAGCAGATGAACTTGGCAACTTGAAATCCAATCCTTACTTTGAATTTGTGCTGAAAGCGAACTATGAACTCTATGTTCAGGGACAAGCATGATTTTTTTTAACATTTTTGAAAGTACATTTTTCTAAAGAATTATTAAAACAATGTATACTTTTTTACATTCTGTTCGTACTTTGCTAAATCTTTATAATAAAATTTATACAGTAAGTCATGTGTTTTGTCTTGGAAATTCATAATTATTAAGCTACTAATAAGTATTTGCCTCTACTGTTGGAATGCACTCTCTCTCCTCATTGGTTTCTCTTTTCTGAACCTTTCAGTATCAGGGTTGTGCATTTTTGTCCAGCTTACAGGATGACTCGATTCTAAAGATGTACCAACATCATGGGTGAAATCTCAGCCCTGTTGAAGGCAACAGTTTTGCCTTTAACTTCATTGGGGCCAGGATTTCAGCCCACAGGTATGTGCTGTGAAAAACAGAATGAATATTAGATGATGGCTGTGTAGCTTTTTACAAAGAAACAAAAGTCCAAGTCTCTATAAAATGACACTGTTAAAAAAATAAATAAATGGTCTCTAGTAAACTTTACACGGATACAGTAGCACCTTTGATCTCAAAATATCTATGCCATACAAAGGTAGATGGATTAACCTCCCTTTTACAGAAGAGGAAACTAGCCCAAAGTCAGCCAGCTGTCAGTAGCAGATGAAAATAGAAGGCAAGTCTCCTAACTCCAAGCCCCCATGTTTAGCAAATGTACAACATGTAGGTGCATTAATTTTACAGATAAAATTTCAACAAATTCTGACTAGTAACTTTTAGGTGAAAGCTACAAATGTAGGAATTATCTACAGATGTTAACAGTACATCTAAAACCATAAGAATTTTTGAGCTCACTATTCAGTCATTTCCAATGCATGCCTAAGCCTAGACTCCCTGGAAACCTAGAAAGCAGTTATCAAAGTGGGAGTCCAGCAAAGACCTTCCTTTACTCGACGGCTCATTCTTTACAAGTTCACATCAACTTACCAGGGTTTGCTTATCTCTGGCACGATGAGAAAAATATCCATGTAACACTTAGGTTCTCCTGATGGTCTTGATACTCAAATGATAGCAAGATTAATCTAAAATCAGATGAAGATTGCTTTAATTTGACAAGTTGCGGGAGAACCATACTTTTTACGAATAGTTTAACATCCAGAGAATGAATGCAGAGCAAGTTGTATACCCTTATGCCTTACTTTCCTTGGCCATCTGCCTGCTGAAACAACTTGATCCAACAGCTGAGAAGGTCATAAGTTAAATTAGTTGAAGAGAATCCAATCTCTGGTTTAAAAAGTACAGCTACCATTCCGCTGCTTCCCCCTCCTCCCTGTGCGAATAGAGTGCTCTGAGCTGAAAGGCTGAACATGTTTGGAAGAATAGACTTATCTAGAAATGTTCTAACTAATATGGAAAAGAAGAGCATTAGCAACCTTGGAAAGTCACTGCTGAATTAAACTTCATCTGTTTTCACAGCACTGCATAGCTGTGAGACTAGTGGGTGTAACTAGTAGCTGTATCTTTAAACAAGTGCGTAATTCAGAGTATTAGGATTTTACTGGTAAATTATTTTTAAATTGAATATGGTCTGAAATAATAAAAAAAACCCCAAAACTCCTCTCCATAAAGTCTCTTTATATCAAAACATGGTCAACAGTGTGAGCCAAAGGGAACCTCTGCATAGGCTGCTGTACATGATCAAGGTGATAATCTGCTAAAATCATGCGTCAATCTAGATATTTGGTGATCATTAAACTATATTAAGGGCTGTTTTCTTACCTTTTCTCATTTCAGAAAGCCAATATTTAAGCGGTAATGGACAGACCGTGTTTCTCCTGAATAGTATGAAGCCTACCTTAGGCTCTCAATAAGTCACAGGCCATGTCATTTTCACAATTAAGATTTTTGCATTAGTACTGGTGTAGAAGGTACCTGGCATTAATGCAGCACCTTTCATCTGAGGAACTCCAGAGTGCCAGGCCACAGACAGTAAATTTCAGGGGGGGAAAGCATTTTAAATAGCTTTTCTGTATTTCAAGTTACTTAAAGTTAAATAGTTTAGTATTAGGACTGGTATATTTGTTGCCCGTTCAGTGTGAAGTTTAAAAGGTCAGGATTATTGGATGTTCTCCTTTTCCATATGCTAGCAGTCATTCCACTTGATTCCATTTGGATTTCTGCCTCCATTTGGCAGAGGCGGCCCTAAGAGCACAGGAGTTGCACATTTTTACAGCTTGTTATATATTTGCTCCCAATTTCAAGCTTTACTGGTAACTGTGAGGGGGGGCACCCCTTTGTAGCCCTTTTCTTGTAGACTGGCCTTATGTCAAATAGTTTATAAAGAAGAAGCTTTCAGTTAGCACTGGATTTGAATTCCACAGATATCAATTTTGTTTTGCTGCTTATTGGATCCAAAAAAAATTACAGTACAATGTAACAGTGGCATTAATGAAAGTGTTGTTCCTACCACGTTTGCTGCCTGGCTAACCCTTTTTTACATGAGAGACTGTTTCAAATACGTTTATGCTTCATGTTTTATGGATTAAATTATGCGTGATTTCATGTCAATCCTTCAACTGTTGCATCTAGAAATTACAAAAGTGAGTAATGGGAAATGTTGTGAGACTTAGGTTGGTCTTGATACAAAAATCAGAAATTAGATGAAGCAAAGTTTTCCTCTTTGCTGTAATGTGGTCTGACTTAGCTGTCTTGTGACTGAGTTTGTGCACACATGCACACAAACCCCAGCAAACTAGGCATAAAAAGCTAAACAGATCTGTTTGAATCCTAGGGAAGGTATCTGGGAAATGGCCTTTTAGTTGGAGCAATAAAGAATATTGCTACCAGGCATTTTTCTGTATTAAGCTGAATTGCTATTATTCATATTACAGTATTGAGGAGATACCATGACAACTGTAGAAAAAAGAAAAGTGGTGTATGTCCATGACTTGTCAGATTACATTAAAGATCACTGATAATGCATACCTATCTGTGGCAGAGCTCATACAATTAAACATAGAAGTCAAGTCGAAATTCAACACCTGAATGAAACTTATCTGTAGTTTAGAGTCTACAGCTGCCCATCACAGTTACTAAAAGATTTGATTATTGCTGTGATTCCTTGAAATCCCCAAAAAGGTGATTTTTCACTTTGGACTAGCATATTTTCAATTGTAGACAAGAATTGGAAAAGGAATGGAAAGAAGTGGGGGAAAGGCAACCCTTTTTTGTCCCCAACAGGACTTAAGTCATTAGCATGGCAGGAAGCGGAAATGGGAGAGTGGAATAAAACGCCATAGGGTGCAGCCAGAGGTGAATGGAAAAGCTGCCAAACTAGGAGATGCAGAGATTAAATGTTAAAGAAGTCAAGTCTCCTGCCCCTAGATAAGCTTAGCTGCCTCTGAAATACAACATCAGAAAATGTGCCTCTGCTTCCATAGGGTTCCTGATAGCAGAGATACCCCCTAGTAGTGCTTCCACCAATTCGGCAAAGGATTTGTCTCTGGCTAGTCCTACCCTCATTTCCCTATAGTAAATTCAGCCAACTACACTGACCTTTGGGGGTTAGACTGTACATTATTAGGTTTGCTTGCATCTCTTATCTGATCCTCACTTCCTGAAGTAACAAACTATTCTAAATAAAGGCTTTCAGCTCTATCAAATGGGATCTGCTTAAATATTCAGACCTGAGGTGAATGAATATCGTTCCCTTTTATTTAATGTTGTGGTAGGTTCATCTAGTCAAGCAGCTGATCTCTTGAGACTCATCTACCTCTTATAAGGGTTGAGCTGCTCTGATTCACACATCAGACTGCACTGTAACCACGCAGAGCCCAGCAGGGCAATGTCACAACTGTCAAATGCACCAATCCCCCCAAATGCCAGCGATTAAACAGATCTGTGTCAGGTTGCTAGTATTAGCCATGGTACCAGGAAAGAAATATTTTCCCAGGATCATTATCTCAAACAGGCATCCACCATTATCCGCTTACATGTATTCACAGGCATCTTTACATGAGAATGAGTAAAACAATGCTTTTAAATATGTTAAATATGAAGTCTGATGTGATCTACTGCAAACTACAAGCACGACAAGCAAACCAAAATCTACCTTTCCAACTTCGGAGCCTCTTCTGTGTTAACTCCACCTTCCCCGGGCTAGTGAGGGGACTCGGTTCTTACCCTTACATTGAGAAAACAGCCGCAAGTATTGCTGCCTTTCTGAAGGCTTGTCTCTGCTGGGAGGAAGGCAATTCCTACTAGTAGAGATCAAAGACTTCCCTGGGTTCCTGGAGCATTGCAAAAGATGGGCAGCTGTTTAGGCAATGCTTCTGGGAGCCCTGCCTTACTGTTGCAGGGTACTGGGAGGGAGGGGGAGGTAACTGAAAGTTACTGCCCTGTCCTTTCGCTAAGTTACTGGATGGACCTAGAGAAGCCTCTGATACTGTAATTGGTGTGATCTATTGGCCGGCTAATTCTTGACTTGAAACGCGGCAGCCCTGAATTGACGAAGGAAAGGCCCCTGGAAAAGACTGTTTTAGGCTGGGTTACAAGCAAGGACCTTTTCCATTTTAAACTTCTCCATGGGGAAAAACCTGCTGCTGGGCTTGCTGGCACATATGTAAGGATGAAGTCTTGTAGGTCCCTTTACGCATTACAGGTATCGCACAATTAACTGGGTAATGGCGCAATTCCCTTGGGACCAGTGACAGGTGCCAAGTTGTGATATCCCACCTTGACACGCTCCAACCGGCTATAATGTCAGAGCTGGAAAATGTGGTCTAAGTTCATTGCTGGTGGCTCTCCAGCTTCCCCTTGCATGTGCAGCAAAAGGGAGAGTAAAGGTGCCTCTCTCTCCCTTGCTGGCTGTTGGCACCGGGGCTGGCCTTAGCCGCCCCGGGAGCCTTCTGTGCGCTCCAGTCCTCTCCCCTGCCCCTGCCGCTGCTAGCCTAGCAGCACTGGGACAGCTGCCAACTGTACTTCCCCCCCCCTCGGCCCAATGCCCCAGTAAAGCCTGGCATGCCCATAAGTAGATTTGAATCCCTGCAGAAATGAAAAAGAAAAAAACAGAAGCGCACCTGGGTATATCAGTGGTATAAATAGCCGTAAAGGCCCGCAGGCCCGGCACGGACGAGAAGTGGCCGACCTGGCACCCCGCCTCACCGGGGAACCGCGATCATCCTCTATATATAAAACGGGCTTGGCAGGGGCTGTTTCCATGAGGAAAAGAGTTGGTGTGGGGCAGCGCTGAAGCCCCCACGCGCGCCTTCCCCACACACCCAAGTGACCCAAGCAGCCCGGGGGCAAGGGGATGGCGCTGGGGTGGAGCTTGCTCCTCGGAAACACCGGCCGGTGGGGTGGGGGGTGTCCCGGCCTCGCA